TGTGTTAATGAAAAGAGTCCTGTTAGTGTCACTGTTAGAGGACGTGGAGAACTTTGGAGAACTGTGGTATATATATATATATATATATATATATATATATATATATATACATATATATATATATGAGTTGATGTCAGTCTGGCTGCAGAGCTGATGGAGAGTGATTTTTTTCTTTTTTTTTTCCAAAACAAAAAAACGAAACATAGATGTATTTTCTACTACACCTTGTTGTCTTGTTAAACCAAAGTGCGGCCGTCTTGACAAGCAGCGTGGGCCCTGAATGACTAATAGAGCCGCTGATACAGAATGGGTCGTAATGGAGGTGTTAATGAGTGTGTTTCTTAAAGGTCACTTTTGAGTTGTGTTTTCTTTCTCCCTGGTGTCAACACCTTTACACTGTTGGTTCTGAGTGACTTTAAACATTGGGTGCTCCATGGGTCAAAGACGTTGGCCGCATATATGTGGAGAACAGGACTGTAAAGACCAGGACATGATGTTTGAGTGTGTGTGCGTGTATGTCTATGTGTATGTGTGCTTGAGCGAGCCATTACACACACTCCAAACTCTCAAGCCTTTTGTATACTAGTGTGAGCGTGTCTATTTGTGTTTGAACGGGTCATGTATACAGAGGAGAGTTCAACCAGGTGCCACACACACTCGGGGACCTCCCACAGTGTGTGTGTTCCACTGCTCCTTCTGTTTCAAAATGCTCATTTGTGTGTTTTTCTTTTTCAGTCAAATCTTTGATTCTGACCTCACCACCTTCAACATCCTCCTTAGGTGTGTGTTTGTGTGCATGTCTGTTTGTGTGCGACCAGCTGGGAAGGTTCGCACAGGGGTTTTTAGACGCGAGAGTGATGACAAAGGAGAACCAGGCGGAAGAAAAAAAAAACCCGCAGCCTCAGGGGAGAGATAAACATTTACTTTTCAACAAGGTCACTGTGATGAAGGTGTTAACAGAAAAAAAAACAAATTCAAACTGCCAAAATCAATGGTGATGTCCCAGAGACAGCAGTGATGTCCCTGAAATAGCAGTGATGTCTCCAAGACTCCAGTGATGTCTCAGCGTCCTCTGTCCTGTCCTCAGGTCATAGGTTCAATCTCTTTAGTGTTATTGACATGTCATTGACTAGAGTTGACTAAAGTCTGATCAACTCTATGACTAGCCCATTCAGAACCAGTTTCTTCTCAGAACTTCCTGTAGACTCAGAGTACTTAACCCTGTTGAAGCTAAGCTTCAACAAAATACTTAAGGATTTGTTCATGATTTTAAGATAATACTATTATATATTATATTCTCCATACCTGGGGGTCGTCAACATTTTTTAAACTAAAATAACTTCAAGGGTACTTAGTAATACGTACAGCTACTTGTTTGATACAAAACTTCCCAAACTATGTAATAATGATTAGAAAGAAAAACGTCAAATTCTGGGAGATACAATAGCAGACACTCTTACCATGATAATTACCCCCATTTGAATATCATTGCAAGTGTAACTGATTTAAAAAAAAAAACAGTAACCGTACAATTAGGACCCTCTTGTTGACTAGGTAGTCTATAGGGGCTACTAGGTGCCCCAGCGTACCACATTGGTGACCCCGAGGCTACTCTATAGTCAATACGTAGTGAAAATATTCCTGTATTCTCTTCCTTTAAGGTAACAACAGCTGGTTGTGGTTAAAAAAACAGAAGAACTTCCGCTTTGGCTACAAAAAAACAAACAAAACAAAACTGAAAGTTAAATGAACTAACAAGAACAGACACATTCAGTTCTCTTTGGCATGTGTGTATACCGATGTGTGTGTGTGTGTGTGTGCGTGTGTCCAGGCTAATCCACAGAACCATAATAACCTCCTCATCAGAGCAGCTGAAGTGCCTGTCCCACTTCATTTATGGCTGATCTGCGTCCATGTCCCTGAAGACAATGGAGTCATCACAAACCAGGGTCAGAGGAGCCGCAGGAGACACAGCAGAGTGTGATCATGTTCATTGTTATGGTCACACACACACACACACACAAAAACAAACACATGATCCATAGAACATTTGCTAACTAAAGCTAACGTATACGTTAGCTAGCTTACTTGACTCTTATCCAGTAACTGTATTCACTCTAGGATTAAATACATACTTTTACTAATTATTTTGATATATTTATATTTAATTTACTTGCTGTTACATTTGAATCATTTTAAGCTTCGTGTTTGCGATGATTTCAGGCCTTTTTTTGCTTTAGCTGCTTTCCCTAAAATGTGCTACATTTTAGCAGGTAGGAGTCAAATATTTACTGACCTTTTGGAAAGTTTTATGGTAACATTCAGATACTTTCAGATATTTATGGAACATTTACCCGACCTTGCTTTCCCCCCTCACACTCTTGACTTTTTTTTTGTTATTGTTGTACAAATGTATATGACTGTTGTCGTACGGTTGATGTTGAACTAATGTCTTGTTTGTACAGGAGCTCAGTTCATTGTTGTTGTCACTCAGCAGGATGTGGGAGTAGAACAACCTCTTTTCTTCTTCTTCTCTAAACATTTTTTTTTCTTTTTTCAGTTTTTGGGTGATGATCCACTCTGTGGTTTTTGGGAGGCTGAGCAAATGCAGAGCAGCAGAAGCTGAGAATCATAAATCAGGAGGTTGGTGAACAAGAGTCGTCAGTGCGAGGAGACTGGTCAGTGTCTAATGTCCACAGACGCTCCTGCTGCTCCTGAATCTTCCTCTTGCAGCTCCTGTGAGAGCGTCAGTGTGACTCACAGATTCTGATCAACTGACCAATTTACCAAACGTTTATACTCCCTCACTCACCACAGTCCACACACACACATTTAACTAGTCTTTCATTGATCAACAGTGGTCTTTCGTTGGTCTATCAGTGGTCTTTTAGTGGTCTACAGTGGTCTTTCACTGGTCCATCAGTGGTCTTTCATTGGTCTACAGTGGTCTTTCGTTGGTTTATCAATGGTCTTTCATTGGTCTATCAGTGGTCTTTCGTTGGTCTATCAGTGGTCTTTTAGTGGTCTACAGTGGTCTTTCATTGGTCTCCATGGTCTTTCATTGGTCTATCAGTGGTCTTTCATTGGTCTACCTTTCGTTGGTCTATCATTATCAATGGTCTTTCATTGGTCTATCAGTGGTCTTTCGTTGGTCTATCAGTGGTCTTTTAGTGGTCTACAGTGGTCTTTCATTGGTCTCCATGGTCTTTCATTGGTCTATCAGTGGTCTTTCGTTGGTCTATCAGTGGTCTTTTGGTGGTCTACAGTGGTCTTTCATTGCAATAGTCTATCAGTCATCTTTCATTGGTCTATCGGTGGTCTTTTAGTGGTCTTTCAATAGTCTATCGGTGGTCTTTCATTGATCTATCAGGTGTCTTTCATTGGTCTACAGTGGTCTTTTAGTGGTCTATCAGTCATCTTTCATTGGTCTAAAAGTCATTTTCACAAATATTTACATTGGTATATAATTAGTCTATCAGTGGTCTTATAGTAGTGTACAGTGGTCTTTCAGTGGTCTGTCATTGGTCTTTCAGTGGTCTTTCACTGGTCCGTTAGTTGTCTTTCAGTGCCTGTATGACATTTATGTATTTCCATATTTCTGCTTTAGTGTTGATGTTGCAAGTGTTATATTCTCTCTCATCACCTTTGCTTCCAGCTAAGATTAATTTAACCTAGTTCAAAACCAATACGATTACTAGAAAAACTGTTTTATTAGTGGGTTTAGTCCCGCTCACCACCTCTAAAACTGTTGGTGTTTACAAAGTCTGTCGTCAGACTTGTTCCATGTGATTCATTGGTCTACAGTGAAAACAGCTGAAGAAATAAATATATTTTTAGTCAAGTCGTAAGGGTTAGTGTGGATGAATGAAAGACACATGAGTTTGGCGCCGAGAAGGAATAACATCTGCAGCAGGACTCTTCAACTCCCACATGTGTGTGGAGTTCAAACCTATCTCTGTGTTTGCTTTATTTTTATGATGAATATATATATATATAAATCATATATTATTGACAACAGACCGTGGGTTAAATGGTCGTTTAGCTTTCTCTTTAGTTTTTCATTTTCACAAATATTTACATTTTATATTACATTTATCTTATTGTATATATGGAAGACCTTATGGAAGAAGATTGCAGAAAGAAAATTTCATTTTATGATGGTCAAATAAAACAGATTAAACAAACGCACACATAACGCCGGTGATTTAAAATCTGTAACGTAGTGTCCACTGTAAAAAGTAACGGTACGACTCTGTCCGGCCCTCAGACACACACAGACAGTTTATATATTTCACTATACTGACTTAATTATTCATGTACTATATATCAACTCATATCCTAAATTTCACTTCAGTCTCTTTTTATTTCTAATTCATATTTTTTTATATAATTTGTTCCCTAAATATTTCTTAATACTGCAATATTTTTATTGCAAGATACTGCAAGATATTTATTTATAAATATCTTAATATTACTTAATATTTCTTAATACTGCATGTATTTATTACTGCATGTATCTTATTACTGCATGTTCACTTAATATCTTGTTTTAAATATTTGACTAAATATCTTCCCTTAATGTTCGTGTGTTATGTTTACTTAAAGTAATATATCTTCCTTAAACATCCCCTCAATATATCTTCATATATTTTCCTTTCATAGCTTTACTTACTATTTTCACTAAATGTCTTCAGTGTCTGTCTCACTCAATGTCTACTGTCTTTTTAAACTTATAAGTATATACTTAAAAGGGAATCTTAAGTTATATAAATAATTAATAAAAATACATATTTTTATTAAATATATTCACCTACTAGTTTCACTTATCGTGTTCAAATAACTTCAAGCAAATATATATATATAAAACACCCATCGAACAAACAGCTGAACTGTGAGGACGTTCTATTTTTTACAGTGTGCTCCGACGGTGGCATAGTAGGAGGAGAGTAAGAGCGAGAGCGAGAAAGAGAGAGAGACAGAGGGAGAGAGAGAGAGAGAGAGAGAGAGAAAGAGCAGAGTAGGGGGGTGGATGAGGAGGTGTGTTCTGGAGGAGCATGGCCGCAGAAGCCGCTGTTGACTCCCGTCATTTACTCCACGCTGTTTCGTTTTCTTCTCTAATAACCGTCGCTCTCTCGTAGCTTTTTTTGTCCTGACGCTGTTTCAAGTCACAGGGACTTGAATATTTCCTGCCCGGCGGAGGTTGGTGGCGCATTCAGGCACAGCGGAGCAACGTTTTCCTGCGGTGTTCTACACGCGGTTGTTGAACTGGAGCTGCTGGAGCTGGAGCCGAGGGAGCGCAACCCGGGCAGCTGTGGGTCACAGTCGGGAGTTTTGCGTTGTTGTGAGAAGGAAGGGGGGAGGAAGTGAGCCGGTGACAGGGACTCGGTTTCTCTGGAACATTACTCCTCTGCTTTCCGTGCTATTTTTCTATTTTATTCCCTTTTACGCGTGAAACGCATTGCCTGTTCGGCGTGGAAACTGACGCGCAGTTAGAGAAACTGTTTCCCTGCGCGGAGCGGAGCGGAGCAGGAGTCAGAACGGAGTCCCGAGAAGATTCAGCTGTTTGTGATACTGTGGAATTGTAGGTTTCACTCCTAACTTTTCGAACATTTTTTTTTGTCTCCGCGCTTTTTAAGAAAACATTGAAGTCAAGTCGAACAAATTATACCTAAAGAACTTTACTTCATTCCAAAGACGTTGGAATTAGAGGTTGTGTGGGAATAACTGGAACTTTCCACACACACATTTAATCTTTTAACGCGTCTTTACACCAGAAACGGACTCTGGAAGTTGGACTGATATTGGTTTAACAAAAGTTATTGTTTTTTTTTTAAAATTCAAAATAAAACACCACCACGTAAAAATAAAATGCCGCAGGTGGAAATGGGCATCTTCCTCCTCTTCATTCTCATCAGTGGCATCTGTGTCCACGGCCAAGACCCAGCGTCTAAGGTGGTGTCCGACCGCTACGCCGTCTACTGGAACCGGACTAACCCCAAGTAAGTGACTCGGTCGTGGAACTGTATGCGTTGTTATGTAAGTAGCTCGATGTGTCTGTTCAGGTCTAACTGTTGGCGTGTAAGTGTGTGTGTGTGTGTGTTTCGGCTGCAGCTTGTCCACCTGGAGCGGGGCGTCAGCGTCGCCCTGCCCGGCTGTGGCGCTCTCAGAGCAGGCAGAGGTGTCTGGATGCTTCCGTGCTTTTCCCTCTCAGCTGCAGTTATTTTTTTTTTCTGGATGCTTTAAATTAAATTGAAAACAGCAGCAAAAAACACTTTAAGTGTCCTATTTATAGACGAATCCACACATTTAACCAATGAATTTCAACGTTTATTCACGTATTTCTCAGCCGGACTTTTTCCTCCTTACCATGAAGTTGTTGTTATTCTAGTTTACTGTTAACTTCTGACCCGTGCCTTTATTTCAGGACATGTTTTATCCTTAAAGCCGAGAGAAACTTTAAACAAAATGAATTACAAACAAAGGGAAAGGAATAACAACTTTATATATATATATAAAACATCCTATTTTGAAATATTACATCTGTTCAAAATCGATCCTTCCTGCAGGAAAGAATTCTTCCTGTTACTTTTTCCTGCGTTTTCCTTTAATGTTAATATTTTTTTTTCTTTTATTTAGGTACCAAAAGGCTTAAACTAAGATTTTCTGATATGCTTTCTACTTTTCTCGTCGATTGTTTCCTTTTATTTAGGTACCAAAAGGCTCAAACTAAGATTTTCTGATATGCTTTCTAAAGTTCACGCAGTCAAGTTTAAAATCATACTTTTACTAGATACCAACGTCATTTATTCCACTGGACTATTTTAAGAATGCCCGTCTTTTTTTCAGGTTCATTTCTCATTTTCTCTTAATGTATAAAAATGTTGAAAGAACTTCTTTAGGACTGTAAATTAAAATTCATTCACTTAAGTCAGAACTAAACTTCACACAGTTTGTAACTGTTTTTTCCCCCCTAATTATCTTAACCCCTTATTTTATCAGGAATTTAGGACTTCCTTTTACGTTTTACATTGTACTAAAACAAACATGGACGCATATTTGAACTTTCTTTATTCTTTTCTTATTTGATATCGTTTAAAGGCCACCCTTTTTTAAAAAACATTTATTTAATTCTGTCAGTGAGAGTCAGAGCGTGGATCTTTGGTCCTGTTCAGTAGTGTAGATCTGGTGTTAACGTCGGGTTGATTTTCTTCAAACCACTTGTCTGTCTGTAGGTCCAAACCAAACTTCCTATGGAGAAGATAGATCACCAGGAGTAGATTTCAGTTTGTCAGATTTCTTGTTTAACTTCTCAAACTCTTTTTTTTTTTTTAGTATTCTGTATTGGTTTCATAGAGCGGTTGGATTCAGCAGTACGTTAGTTTTAGCTGATGAAAAGAAAACAGCTTTGGGGCAAATATGTAGACTAACCTGAAAATAATGACAGAAAAAAATGCAATTGTTCAGAACAGTGATCTTGCTGCAATTGGTCAGGTCGCTTTTTGCGTTTGCGCACAGTTTGCACTAAAATGAATACAGGAGAGGAAAACAGCGATGAAACGGTGAATCGATTAAAGATCTGCGTTTTTTTTTTTTTTTTACACCTCCTCCTTTAAAATGGTTCTAGAGGAGATATGTCTGCTCCTCCTTGTGATCGTGGTTTGATAGGAAGGCCGACGTCACCGCTGTATAATCCTGGAGTCAACCAATGATGTCACCGTTGCTAGGCTGTGGCGAGGTTCTGCCCCCAGTTGCGGGTTAAAACCCCAATAGGTGTAGCAGCTAGTTTAGTTATGTCTGGGTTTGAACATGTTACATTTATTATCGTGTCGTCCAAAATCCATGGACCTGTAAAATCCACTCCATAAGGAGACAGCAGTTGTCTGGTCTGAGAAGTGACTTGGACTCGAGACCAAGTGGATTCAAACCCAGATTTTTCTCTGTTTCCTCTGGAGCTTTCTCTTCATCAAATACAAATCATCTCCAAATTCAACCAATACATCTCTTCCGTTGGGGGAGGCTTTTTATTCTTCTTCTTATTGTGAGGTTTCTTTCTAGAAAAAACCTCTAAAAGAATTGTCGTTTATGTAAAGATGTGTTGTTTAAAGTCCTCCGTCCAGCTGTAAGTCAAAGCTCCATCTTGTGAAGAGTCTGAAGGGGGAGGTAGGGGATATGGTCAGACCAGTCTGGTGATAAATGGTCTGGACTTAATTAGCTCAAATCACTGTACACTGCAGCTTTTGGCATCAGCAAAGCTGTCGGGTGGGTAGCAAATAACATACCGAGTCTGGATTTGATCCCACAACCCTCTGGGTGTAGGACAACAACCTACTGAGCTACAGCCTGTTTGATATCAGTCTGTTCAACAGTTTTCAGAGCAGCTCTGTTTAAAATGTTCACTGAAAAAAGGAAAAAAAAAATGACTGCATACCTTAAGGTCATGATAGGAGTGCGTGTGCGTGGGTGTTTGTCACCTCTGTTGTTGTCATGACTTGGGGGCAGTGGTGGCCTAGTGGTTTAAAAAGGGTATTTGTGTCTTTCAAGTTGCAATTTCGAGGTCACCTAAGGTGATGGGGCGTATGGACGGCATATTTTATTGTGTGAAATGGTGTGCTGTGCATCAATAACAATAATTGACTTTTTAATCTGGTAATCTTAATTACATTCACACTAATTAATCAATCGCAATGTATTGCACTTTATACTGCAAAGCCAGTTCAGTGGCTTAGCGAGGCATGTTGAGTCTCAAGCCTGTACTCCAAAAGTGGCTCTCTTTTAACCTGGCTAGATCACCATGGTAACTTATGGCCTGTTCATAATGTGCTCCTGACCAGATTAGGTTCAGAGTTTCGCCTTAAAATCGTACACGAAAGCACCAGCATTTTACTGTGGAACTCACTACTCATTGTGACGTGAGAACCAGGTTGAGATGTCTAAATCAATAAAGAAAGTAGGAGTCGTGGAAGGGTTTTATTTACTTAACACAATACACTAGAAGCTGTGTTTTAGCAAAAATAATTCGGGCAGCACTTCGACAGGAAAGGTTTCTTTAAGGTTGCACTGATCCGCTGGTTTTTCCTATTGAAATTCTCTATGAGCAATATGAAATATTAGTTAGGCCTACCTAGTGCTTATTTGTCACAGATAATAAGTAAAGTTAATTATTTCACTGACATGTAGCCATCTATAAACGGATTAATGTTTGATCTATTTGTTATTGTACTGATACGGTAGATTTGCTGGTTCATCCGGACACAGGAAAAAAAAAAAAGCCACTGAACATTTACATGTTCACACATAAGAAAGTACTCTAAGACTTACCAGAAACAAAAAAAAATATAAAAACAACACATTAACATGATTAAACAGTATATAATAAAAAGTAAATAAAAACAAAAATACTGCAGTACTGCGAAGTTGCTGTGCATACGTAGACGGTGGAGAAGGAAGAGGAAAGAAAATAGTTGGATGTGGCACATGGTTCAAAATATGAACTCGTGAATGCAATGTTAATGCAATTTTATAAACAATTATGGACATCAGTCAGCGGTTGTACGTACCTATGAGTGTTCGTAAGTCGGATGTTCGTATCTCGGAGAACTGCTGTACTACACACTCACAGTACAAATACAAATACAAATACAGCAGTTATATTGTTTTGACCCTGAACCCTGCCCGAATCTGGTCTAGTGTGGACTGAATACACTGTTTGTCTGTACCAGGACTGTTGTAGCTAATGTTATCTCTGGTGTGTCTACCAGGACTGTTGTGGTTAGTGTTATCTCTGGTGTGTCTACCAGGACTGTTGTGGTTAATGTTAGCTCTGGTGTTTGTTCCCACCAGTGTCTTGTTTTAGAAGTACTGCAGTGATTTTAAAAAACAAACAAAACTTTTGTGCGGGTCTTTTGGTACTTGTGCATCTGTGTGGTTTGTCTGATGTAGTAACTTGAAAAAAATCTGTTGTGTCTGTTCTTTAATGTACAATGAAAAAAATAAATAAATAGACTAAGACTATTTAAGTATCAAGACTATATAACTTGGACTAAGACTTGGCCTTAACCTAAACCCTTCCGTTAGTGGAAAAAAAGGAACCTTTTCTTCTCTGAAACCCATAGAACTTGACTGGAACTGGACTTGGTATGAATTCAGACTCAACCCAAACCATTGTCCTGTCTCTTACATGATCAGTTAAACATACACTCAGCACTAGTCCACACTGCTGTGCAGCCTGAGTCCCAGCTGTCCTTGATACAATCAGTCATTTTTTAAACCCAGCTGCCTGCTATTACCTGCTATTACAGGTTAATGACCAGTGCTTACTCCACCGAAACCTAAACACAACATGCAGTCAGAGTCTGAGTAAGTCCGCCGCTGCTGCTGCTAAACCTACTGCCGGTTGTTTAAGAGAAATCTGCCGAGTGGCTCTCAGTCTGGTGCCATCGATTAGATCCGACAGAGTGCGTTTTGTTATTTATTTATTTCTTTTTCTTTTTCAGCAGCAGCGGGAGGGTTTTTTTTTTGGGGGGACATTTGCTGCCAACTTGTGTCCACTTGTGTTCTTCTTTATTCCATGTGACAGACACTGGTCTGACGTTTTAATCAGCTGCTGATGACTGTAAACCTGTGAAAAGTTGTTTAGTGTTGTTTTGTCGGAGTAAAATCACTGGGATTTAAATGTCTGTCCTTCCTGCTTCTAATTATGACAGTTCTGCCTTCTCACCCCCCCCCCCCAACACACACTCACTCACACCCACCCATACACAAGCAACAAAAAAAACAACTGGAAATGAGCCCACATTCTTCTGCTGTGTTCATTCTGTCACTGACATTATAACATAAATGTGTTCAAGCTCTGGCCAGGGGAAAAGTGTGTTTTCGTAGAAACAGACCATCATTGGCTGGACCTTTACAGAAGGATCACTTGGTTTTATGGACATTAACTGCGTTCCTTGTGGAAAAAGGTCGGACACTCCTGTGTTGAACACTGTGAACGTGTGTGTGTGCGCGCACACTTATGTGTCAGTATGTCAGGGCACCTCCCTTGGTGCTTGTTCAACCTACATAGTTTTAAGCTGCCATCATTAAGTCTTATTACAAAGCTACGGTTTCAGGGCGAGTCGACGGAAAATGATCAGATCGTTAACATTTACTCACAAACCGGTTTGTGTGTGTTTTTGTGTCAGATGCTGTAACGGCGACCTGGTGACACAGACAGGCGTAATTACACACAGTGACAGGATGTGACAAGATACTGACGTAAATGGCGTGGCGTTGACTTCAAAGCTGCGGCCATTTCTTTTGCCTTCACTCACGTATCAGATATGAGACGTCTCTGTCTCTGTCCCACCAACAATCAGATATCAGAAATAAGACGTTTCTGTCCCACCAACATTCAGATATCACAGATGAGATGTCTCTGTCCCAATGACCATCAGATATCAGAGATAAGATGTTTCTGTCCCACCAACAGACAGATATCAGAGATAAGATGTCTTTTGTCCCACTCAAAGCCTTTGTTGTCTTTCTGTGTCTGTGTGTGTGTGTTTTTTTTTTTTTTTTTACTACTTTGAGCCTCCATTAAGACCTGGTATTAACTCCCATCCCTGTGCTGAAGTTCTCCAGTTTCACATGGACCACTCAAGTTCAGGTCTAAACCTGGTGCAAAAATTAGACACAATAACCTTGAAATACTCGGAATTGCCCTTAAATTTTTTTTCATTTTGGAGGCCTTTCATGTCCTTTTTGAATATTGCTGCCCATTTGGAGCAGATTATATCTGTAATACCTGGACTGGAACAAAAGTGAAGTAGAATCAGCCCCAGATGAACCAGATAGAGTTACAGAAACAGCCACTGCTGCTGCTGACCCTCCCCCACCCGCCCATCCCCACCACCACCTCCTCTGTGTCCAAAAAACCTGTCAAAGACGTTACTATTCCTGGAGGGAAGATGGACTGAATCAGGACATCTGATAACAACATTTGATAAAACTGACCTGGAAATCATCCAAAATGACTCCAAACAGGATTTCGCTCTTCCCCTCCCCTCACTGGACTGCAGGACCGAGAATTACTGAGAGTTCCTATCTCTGGTCCAGACCAAGGTCAGGAAGTAGTTGTGACTCAGTTCAACTGAGGTTGACCTTTACTTTACTCTACTGTACTAGTTCCTTAGCTGGGTAAGAAAAGGTACTTTCTTTAGTTCTTGATTTTAGTTTGTGATAAAAAAAACAAACAAACAAACAAACGCATAGTTGCCGTACCTTCCTTAGTTTTGTTGAATGTCTACATACGTTCTGCCTACTTTACCATAACGTAGTGTCTGCCAATAGTTCTTGGTACTTTTAAGAGTTTTTAATTCCTGATTTTTGAAGTGGAAAATGACATCTATCCTGGTCACGACTTAGTTCTGTGTAGTTACTTCTCAAGTGGTTGTATTAAGTAGTTCCTGGCACTGGTCATGGCATCTGGTACTCATTCCACATGTAGTAACCAAATACCAAATACCATGTGGTTTCTCAGTATGTCTTTACACAAGTTGCTGCAGTGGGAATGTGCACAGTTTCTGGTACTGTCTGGTGATAGTTCTCTTAGTACAAATGTATCTCAATAGTTCTAGTTCTGTTCCTAAAGCAGTATTAAGGATTCGTTCTGTCCACCAGATGTTCTTGAATCTTCATTATAATGTTTGGATGTTTTCGGCATGAACATTCAGACATCATAGAAAATGCAGGAAAGGTAGACCACGTCTAGGAGGCTGCACTGATCTAAATGATGATTTTTAATCATGTTATTTGAGGTTTTAGGGAAATTTGAATCATACAAACAAATCACTAGCACTGTAAGTTGGAAGATATTGAGAAGTTGGGGTTAGACTCTACAATAAAAGGTGTTGTTAATATGTCGGTTGCATTAGTGGTGCAGACGTGTTGCCCGTCCTCAGAGCTTCTGAAACAGTGTAAACGAGTGAAGTCATTTGATGTTCGAATTATTAACGGAAGCTGTAAACATGTGAATCAGACAGCATTCCTTTTGGTCAGATATTAGGGTTAATTCCCATTAAGCAGTTAGTTGGGAACTTGCCCTCTCTGAGTGTCCCCCTCCTACCCTGTCCCCTAAAGGAGTGTCCCCCTCCTACCCTGTCCCCTATATCCCCCCTTGTCCCATGCGGGGACAGACAATACGGGGTCTCACACAGTGGTTTTTTCAGCGAGGGCCAGATCCCAGCGTGACGCTGGCTCTTGTGAGAGATCCGCACATGCTGAGGTCACACACACTTGGTCGTAACCAGGCGAGTTGTGACGGGTTAAGCAGCATAGAAGAGGTAGACCGTTGTCAGGGTCAAAACCGGGGCAGCACCGCTGGCCTTGGGCCCTGATGCCGGCCCCCTTTTCCCCCTGCCTGCGCCGTCTTTGTCCAAAGAGAATAAATGGGTAACTCTAAATGACTGTCTCCTTTTCTCATTCATGACTTTAATCTAAACCTGACCCGGGCTGTATAATGTAAAACCAGGGTCCTGCTCCAATCCTGGGGCCTTCCCTCCTCCTCTTCCTGACCCACAGCAAAACCTAACAGTGTTCCATGCGAGCCAGCAAAGGATCCCCACTGTTTAATGTAACCATAGTCGGCGATTGGAGTCCTGGGAACCTGCTGTGGTTCAGCCCTAACTTCCAGATGCTCCCCGCTTACTTTTCTCTGCACTTCATTGGCTGTCACAGAAACGGGGCCGCGGC